TATAATAAAAGTATCAGTATAACATTATTTTATTTCAATTATAATTTAATTTTTGCATGTTTGAAGATAAAGTAAATATATCTAGACATAACACATAGTTTTTTTTTGTAGTGACTTTGTTTTACAGGAAGAGTAAAGATTCTCACAAAATAATTCTGTCAGGAATAGAGATTGCATATTTGTTTGGTTACTGATGTCTAATTATTCATCTATTTTTTTTACCTGACGTTGAAGGTGTTTCTGTAACTGAAACTGAACATTTAGAAAGTGATGTAGATTGAGCAAGTGGTAGACTTTATTCTAAGCTGTACATATAAAAGACGTACATCTATAAGCTATACATATTTAAGATGTAGATGCTAGTTTAGCATGCGGTAAACTAAAACACAGGAATCTAAATGTTCTGTCGTATTTGTGAGGAATAAAAAATGACCAACTTAGTTTTTAGCGCAAGGCCTTTTGTTTGTTCAAGATTATTTACTTGTAAACTATGTTAGTATAATGGGTTAACAGATGCACATTTACTAGATCTGAATTTCACATAGGAATCCAGATAAAACTTGAAGTTTTTGGCATAGCAAATATAAATCAGTCCTTTGGATTCTCTTAGCCATGTCTCTAGTTTCATTGCAGAGAACAAAGCTATAATAATGGCATTGTAATTATATTCTAATTTCTTTCCTATCGAGAAGTTTGAATAGCTGAAAACCACTTTGCATTTAAAACAATAACAATTTTAAAAGATACTGGATAGAAGTCCTGCTTAGCAAATAGAGTATTGACGGGCACAATACAAAGATTCTTGATTTTCTAAGAAATGTGACATAACTGGTAAAAGTAATGTGGTGCAAAAAATGGAAATCACTATCTTGTAAATGAATTTCTAATGCTCCAGATGTGGGTTAATAAGTATTTTATTATACTAAAATCAATAATTACTTAACACAATTCCAAACATAAATGATGAGTCATTTTGTTTTATATATTTTTTTATTGATCGTTGAATTATGTAGCAAACTTGCTACATACTCAAACTTGCTACATATTGTTAATTTGTAAAATAAACATTATTTGATAAAAAATTCAATTTCCTAATTTAGGATGTATGCTCTCTACACACCATAGCCTACCATGTAAGATTTTTTTCTCATAAAGCTCACAAAATTAATTTGTGCAGTGAAGGCTTAAAATACCCACGAATTTGTCAAATATCACACACGGAGTTATAAACTTTTCGTCAAAATTGGAATGTGATTTTAATGAAATTCTATGTGTAGTTAAAGATGATTGTTTAAAAAGCCTAAAATAAACCAACCAGCTAAACAATATCAACCAGATAGTAACTCTGGTTTTTTAATTTCTTTCTACATTGTTAATGTATCTGTCCCTTCAGTTTTGAAAAGTGTTATTCAATTTTACACATTTGTTTGTGTTCAAAATTACGTTAAAACAGTTAATAAAACAAGATGAGTTATCATAATATAGTTACATTTGTGTCTTTGACTATTTAGTCAAATGGTTGAAATAAATATTTTCTAAATAGTAAAAAAGAAAATGTATATAAAAATCAAATAAAACAAAGAAGAGATATTTCTGATATATTTTTTAAGTAAAAAGTGCTTAATATTCATGAAAAGCAAACATTACAATTCTCATAGCGAAATCATTAGAAGCTTATCTGTGTTGATGCATAGAATACGGGGTAACAAAATAGCAAGGAAAAAAATAATTAAACCATAAACATTATACAATTACTGTTCTTTAATGTGTCAGGTTTTTTTACAGTTAGCATCCGGTGAGAAAACAAAATTACATGCGTTGACATAAGATAAAGTTGCAAATAACAGAGCATCAAGTTTTAGCACTTGTGACAACGTAAGGCAGAAGGACAACATTATACCCTCTTAACTGATCAGCATTCACACACATTTCATAACATTCTTTTCAATCTTTCATAACTAAAGCAAGTAAGAAATGAGTTAAAACATTGATCAACATCCATTCAAAATATAGGCTGAAACATTTGTGTAGAGACATGTTGTGCATGTGATTTGTACGTATATTCAATGCTAACGCATCAAAGTGTGGTTAACACATAAGTTGTAGGCCTATGCTTGAAGCAACACAAATTATGATGAATAATTCATGCGTAGGTCAACAGACAACTAAACAATACATTTAAATTCATTACTAGTAAGAATTGAATCAATAATTATATTAGTAGTTTATAAAGAAAACGTTGATTATTATTTCATAAAATATGTATATATCTAATTAAGTCACATATTTGCACAGTCTTCACCTACGTAGAAACTTTGAAAAAATCGGCCCGGTAAAAGTGATCTTTTTCAGAAATCGGAAATAGCGTACCGATAATCAATTTAAAATGTAACAAAAATCAAGAAAATAAGACCCTATACCTATGTATAAAAAAGAAACGACACTCAAATTATGGTTTTTATCGTTATTTAAAAAAAAACCCAGATACTTGCGATTTTAAAGGACCCATAAAAATTGAGAGCAATTAATGTGAATAGGGTATTTAACGTATGTATGAAATTTCGTCTACCTAACTAAAACAGTACATCGTGTTCTCACGGAAATAAAGTACCGCTTCCGGATATCGATCTAATGTTGTGGGTCGGCGTGGTCGGGTATGTGTCGCTTTATGGTTGCCAAATTAAAAAGCACCAAGTTAGAACACCCGGGTTAGATAAACCTGCTGCATTATTTTTTTTTTCTTGATTGAACAAAGGTTATGGAAACTATTTCAGTAAAGAAAGCAGGCTGAAATCGAAGTCAATGGCCTATGAGGCGCAAAATTGGTAGGCCTACTCACGTAATACTTAGTTGTGTTAGAGGAAATTACAACATTACAATTAAAAACAATAAAGAGGTTAAGTGGTGAGAGAAATACGCACATGCACTATAATAAATATATGAATTCTCGTCCACCTAACGTAAACGATACCCAAGTAATATGTTTTAAGAAACCGGAAGTAGATTAATTACTACTTCCGTTTACAAGAAATTGCTAAAAAGAAGATTTAAATTTACAAATTTGATAAACTACTTATATAAGACATTTTTCAATTAAACTCAAACGTTACACAAGTTATTGTGTTTTTATACAAAGATAGAGAGACAGACAAATGGACAGAGTTGAAAGGAAACTATTTTCAGAAGGTAATAAAATGATGACATTTGGCAAAATCTTTAAATAGACATTTGCACAATTCCAATACAGCCTTCATATCCCGAATACAAAAAGGTGTGGAGGTGATAAATAAAGAAAACTGTCAAAAAATATGTTAGTTATTTAGCACGATGACAGACAATACTTTTTCTATACTCTGTAGACTAGAAAGTGAAAAGAAAATACCCAACTCAATGGTTTAAATTAAATTAAATGTGGTAAATTTTAACAAATAAAGTAACTTATACTTTTCAATTTCATTTAAAAACAAACACAGTACCATATTATATATCGTTTGAAAGTCAGTCTAGAAAATGAAATAATTTAAAACGTTGAGCATTGATTAATAATTATTGGAAATATTATAAATAATGTTAAGCCAGCTCTAAAATTAAAATGAATATGTTTTTTTTCTAAACTCGTTTCAGGCAGTTAAAAATGTTTCAATTGTGTTTCGAACTATTTCATTCGATGATAAAAAAGTTTAAAATGTTGATGTAACTACCACTTAAAAAAATGTTTTATTCATTTTAATAACAAGTATTTTAAAATGTTTTATTCAAATTTGTTTATTTATTGTAATTATTTGCAAATGAAAAGTTGTTATGGCTGAAACAAAAATATAACATAGTACATATTAGTTAACAATATTAATGTTCAAAATAAAAAAAAAACTGGAATACAAAGAGATTTTAATATATATATATATATATATATATATATATATATGTATATATATATATATATATATATATATATATATATATATATATATATATATATATATATATATATATATACATACATATATATATACATATACATATATATATATATATATATATATATATATATATATATATATATATATATATATATATATATATATACATAAATATTATAATTTTAACAAACTTCTTTTATCACAAATCATCATGAACATAATAATTGAGCATTGTATATTTGGGAAAATTGTTTAACTAGTAATAACCAATCTTACATAACCGTTGTTAAAGCACATAATGATTGAATGAATAAAACAAAAATTAATATATATAAAATACAAATAAAGTTTACTAGCTTAAATATAATTACAACAACATATCTTAGTAGAAATCTAATTTTAATATTGCAAAAAATAATTGAATTTTAATATTAGGTTAGCATAACTTATGTTCAAAACAAGAAAAAAAACGTACTAAATTAAATTAAAAAAATTGTTTGGAGTATTTAATGTAAATTCATTACTTTAATAACATTTTGTATGTGCTACCAATGACATTCAATACATGTAAATGTTAACATGTTTATATCTTTTTTGGACTCTCTCTCTCTCTCTCTCTCTCTATCTCTCTCTCACACACACTTTCTCTCTCTTTCTCATTCTTTTTATTTTCAGCCTTAGAAAATGCGTATAAAATTTGAATTTAATCACCCCAATTTAAAATACATGAAAAGATTCATTATGATTGATTTTTACTAGAGTTAAACTAATATCTTTAAGATTACAGAAAAGTATAGTTTACAAACAAATTAGAATAACATTTCTTAAATCACCACTAAATATTCAACGATGTATTTAATTGGATGTTATTTCTATCACGACACCATATTCAAAATAGTATGGATTTATTCTTTATTATCACTATGTACATTAGACTGGCAATATTTACATACAATTATAGATTGATTTTCTTGTTTAAATGATCCGAATACAAAGACAAATTTAGGCCTTTAGCAACACGATTATATATATATATATATATATATATATATATATATATATATATATATATATATATATATATATATATATATTCTTCAACATTTTTTTCTATCAACGATAATGTAAAGTATATATATTAAACTGAAAAGGTATAATACGTATTTTGAGACTACTAACTGATGATTTACTTTTAAAAAACATCACTTAATCTCATCTAAGCTCTCTATCCCGTCACTTCTTGTAATAAACGGATCATTTTTTAACAGCCACTCAGCTGTTGGCCTAAACTTAGATTCCCGCTGTAAAATCCTTTCTAAAAACTCCTTCAAGTAAACAGATGACGATTCGGGTAGCTGATAACTCGGTGGGTTGCCCAAATACGACTGGAAGACAATTTGCTCTGTTGGAATAGAGGAGTTCGGTTGTTTCCCGTTAATCATCTCTAACACTGTGCAGCCAACACTCCTGTTGAAAGAAATTAAATTGATTCAATTATTTGTCACAGAAATTTGTTCTAAAATCTGTATTGTGTTTCTGATAGTATGAGACGTTGCTATCTAAAGGAGGTGGACATTTTGATTTGGTAATAAGACTATCTCAGAATGAAATGCGACTTATTATTATATTGTAAATATTTTTAACTTAATTTATAGACTTAGTTTAAAATAAACAAAAAATGTTTAAACAAAACAATTAAGTAGTATTATCTTCTTGAAAGATAAAATTCAGATAAAAAAATAAAATGTAATTTAATTAAAACTATTAATGTAAAATTTCAACTAATCACATACATATAGATGACGTCTGTCTAAACTAGATTCAAAACAAAACAAGCGAACGGAACTGGACATTTTTAATAACAAACGCAACTCGAATTTAAATGTGGATATTAATTAAGATAACTGTTTTAATCATATATACTTAACATCAAAACAATATTGCTTTATTTGCCGATTTTAATTTGGCGATAAGCACACTATTATAATCTTATTATAATATTGGAAAAAGAATATTCGTATTTTTAGAAATGAGATCGGATATGCTCACGTATATTAAAAACAACTTTAATTAAAATCTATTGACTAAAAACATTTTCATTTTTAAAAGAGATAAAAGATAAACCCCATAATTGACTTAATATATTTAAAACTTAAGCTATTGAAATATAAGTTTACTACAACGTAAGCAAGAATTCTTGGATGATAATTTAAAAAAAAGATTTAAGTGAGGTTATAAATGCTGCTCTTTTTTGTATTAAAGTATTAACATGTCTGATCAGTTGTTATCTTGTAACCACTGAGTTTTATTCTTCACAACAATTTAGTCACATATAATTTATTTAGGGGAAATCGCCACCGTCCTGGACAAAACAGAATATAAATACGATTTATGTAGCAAATTTATACTTTCTCAAGTCTCCGCTCCTAAACACCCCCCCTCCCTCCCCCGACCTAGAGATTTTAGTTGTATCACCCTTGGCAATTCCAATGTTCCCAGCAGCATAAAATGTCAGAAAAAAGTATTTTAATAGAATTAGTACCATATATCTGCCCTGCTTGTGTAGTTTTGTATTACGTTGCCTTCTGTATAAATCACTTCTGGTGCCATGTATCGCACTGTCCCAATTTCGGTAGAGACGCCATTGGCATCAATAAACTCAGATAGACCAAAGTCTGTAATCTTTAGGTTCCTGTCATCTTCCATAAGAACGTTGTTGCCTAACAGAAAAAAGGTTTAGTTTTTTCTATTTTTTTATAAATTTACACATGGACCATTTTAAATACGTTTGCCATGGTTGGCACATACATATAAGTATTAAAAGACAAAAAAGTTTTAAAAACAATTTCGGTGGTCATAAAAACCTAGAAAAAAAAACGCCATTCTGATTTGTTCGACTTTTTTTACAAATGCAACGGGTTTTCTATTTACGCAATTAAAACAATCAAATTTACAATGCTTATATTTCAGTATATATTATAACTTTTGTCACGCCGCCTTTATATAGGACTACTGTACTGATCTTCAAGTTACCAGGTCCGAAAACATTGCACTATACATTATATACGAAAATGTAAAAAAAAATATTTGCTTATTTGTTTTCATAAACCATTTTTCTTTGAAAGCCAACAAAATTCCCTCGTGACAAAAGTTTTATTGTTATATTAAGAATGTACTGAGAATACGGTGGAAAAGTAGTAAGCTTTTTATTGTAAAAAAACTGCGAACTAAGAAAAACCGGAAAAACTAACAAAATAGCATTTGAGTGTCATTTGTAAAGCAGTTAATAGCTTTGGTTGTTTCTGATTAGACGCAACTTACAATTAATGAATGTCTTAGAATTGCGGCTTTCCAATTATGCCAAATTTAATATGGTGGCGGATTTCGACATTTCACAGCGAAAGTGTAATATTAAAAATTATGACAATTTTTTACTTTCTCGTATATACGTAGTATAAAGAATTGTAATCGTGCAAAAAAAAAAATCGAGATTTTTACAAATCTCGACGTTTTACACCTCACTGATACGGAAAAACATAATTTTGCAATCTTGTCCGTATGTCTGTGTGTGTGTGTGTGTGTGTGTGTGTGTGTGTGTGTGTGTCTGTGTGTCTGTGTGTCTGTGTGTAAACACGATTTCTTGAGTACCGTTACAGCTAGGTTGATGAAATTTCATATATAAGTATTATATCAAAATCGTAGATCCGTATCAACTTTTGAGCGATTTCCGATAACCGGAAGTGGTACTTTTTCTACTTTGAATTTTTCAAAAGCCTATAACTTGAGTACTATATCAGATAGATAAATGAAATTTCACATGTAAGTAAAAGATCTAATTCTCTACCTTCTATCTAATTTTGAGTAATTTCCGTTGACCGGAAGTACTAAATTACGCTATTTCCGAATTCTCAAAAAACGCATGTAAATTTATAAAGTACTAATAATATTGCGCACTATTACGCACATTTGGTTTTGGTGCTCGCTTGGTGCGCAATTTTTTTTTCTACTAGATTTTATTCTATTTTTAAAAGTTTAAGTAAACAAAAATCATGTCTATATTCCGAGTTGACATCCCACGTAGTGTTATATTAGAATATTCGAGAAAGTTTAGGGGAGATCACTCCCGGTTTATTCATATATGGGGTCATAACATTTTTTAAAAATTATGTTTTTCTCATTTTTTTTTAGAATTAAGAAATGGACCAAATAATCCAAAAGTAAAAAAAAGACAAAAAATCTGAATTTCGTTAATTTTTTTCTTTGCGTATCCCCTTAAATAAAAAAAAAAAACCGATTTAATCTTTTAAAGTGACCAGTAGCGTACGCAGAGGGAGAGCATGGGGTTGTCTTTACGAAGAATAATACAATTAAATAAATTGAAAACAAGTTCCACAACAAACCAAAAATAAAATAAAATAATAATAATAAACCCATTACTGAAACTACGAATTAAAAACTATCATGTTATGTACACTAAATATCACATTTTTAACAACTCATGGCAAATAGATCTATATCCTAACTGTTGGCTGACTTTTTGGCCCCTTTTGGTCCACTTTAGCGCCAGTTTATCTGCTGTTTGTATTATTCCTGTTGGATGTAGCCCGAAAGGCACTTGCCCGAATGCCGTTTGCTCGAACGCCGATTTCCCGAATGGACACTTGCCCGAATGCGACAAATGCCCGAATCGTCCATTCCGTAAATCGGCCTTCAGGCAAACGCCATTCACGCAAGTGTCTTTCCGGACAACGTCCGTTTCCCATATATGTATATGTATATATATATATATATGTATATATATATATTTATATATATATATATATATATATATATATATATATATATATATATATATATATATATATATATATATGTATCACATTTTTCTCGACTAGCCGCTCCCCCTATCACGAAAACCTGTATACGCCTCTAAAAATGACAAACAATCCCCAATTGATGGCATATAATATTACGTTGGTTTAAGCTTTTCCATTTAGGTTTTAAGACAAACAATAAGTATGGTATTCATAATTCTGTTCGTAATTTTCAATAATTCTAACTCAAGCTTTTATTTTTCTTTCTTTCACAATAGTAATTAAAACACCTCCAGGTTGTTGTTTTTTTATAATTCCTATTGATATAAATTCTATATATTTATGCCACTAACCTTTAATATCTCTATGTAGAATGTTGTTCTGATGCAGGTACTCAATACCTTCTAGAATTTGAATAGTGAAATGGCGTGTCAAGTTTTCACACAAACGTTCTCTCTTAGATATAAATGCTGCAAGCGTGCCCTATTGTAATTTCAAGCTAAAATTAGTCATCGTTATAGTTCTTACTAAAATCTTTGATATATCATTAAAACTATATTTAGCGTACGTTTGCTTACACTTTTCAGAAATTCTAAAAATATATAAAATGCATCCTCTGTTTTCTTAAATCCATGAAACTGAACTATTCGTCTGTGCTTTACTTTAAGTAGAATCGTTGCCTCTTTTATACACATATCCTGGATAAAAAAAATTAAATAATTTTCTGTCACAAAACTTTAAAAAATTTTTTAGGCCCTATCTATAATATAAAGCTGGTGGTAAAGTGTTAGATGTTAGAAGAGGACATTATGTTAGAATATATAATTAGCATGGATTGCTAAAATGCACCGTGGTAGGTAAAATATGGATATTTTAAATATTGCCTTTTGTTTATTTTATGGATAGTTGGGGTATTAAAATCGTTTACTATGTTCAATCAGGCCGGGTTAAATTTAGTACCGGGTAAGACTGTGAGCACCATGTGTTTACGTTTGTATTTATGTTGCATGTATGTTATGCGTTTGCGTTTTCGATTGTGTTTTTTGTGTTTGCATTTGTATTTGTATTGTGTTTATTTTTGTTTTTTCTTTTGTGTTTGCGTGTTGCGTTTGTGTTGGTGTTTGTGTTTTTGCATATGTGTTTTTTTTATTGCTTTTGCGTTTGCATTTGGTTTGTGTTTTGTTTTTCTGTTCTTTTGTTTTTGTGTTTTCTTTTGTGTTTGTGTTGTGTTTGTGTTGTGTTTGTACTTGCTTTGTGTTTTTGTTTTCTTTTGTTTTTGTGTTTAGTTTAGTTTTGTTCCCAAGTTGGTACATTTAAAAAAGTTTCACCGTGCTGAGCACGGGTATGCAGCTAGTAATTAAATAAAAGAACAAAGTTAATTATATTTTTAGGCAGACAAAAATTCTGACAGTATTATTCCTTTAAACCGTCACTCTATCATTCAAACTATTTGTCTTAAAAGGACGCATTGAGAGGGGTACTCAGGTAGTAGAAGTAAGTTTACTCTTTCTTTCGTTCGTTCTTTGCAATGTTTCCAACTTACAAGAAAACTATCCATATCTTTAGTTGATGTTAAACATGATTTCTTTGCTACGAATTTTTCCTCTTTAGGCTTGGCTTCATCGATTACAATATGGACGCTACCAAAAGCACCTTTTCCTAAAGTTGATTCATTAATTGTGAAATGTTTTGGGAATTCTTCAGAAAGAACGGTGTCTGCGATAAAAAAAACAACACATTATTAAAACCATACAAAATAAGTAGTATTCAATGTTTTATTTTGATAAAATAGAACTGCGTTTCTAAATATAATTTACCTCTTTTGGATGGCAAAGTTCCAGTATTTTGTCCTGATCTCCAAAATATTGAATGGGCATTATCTGAAATATTTTTGTCTTCACTGACGGTTAACTGACCCAGTATTTCATTAAAGGTTTCGTCATCAATAAATTGTTGGCTGACATCCATACTTCTACATAATTCCTTGAGGCAAGCTGTTGTATTTTGTTGTTCTGATATATTTTTATGAGCTATAATTTCTTTCAATTTCGGCAGCAGTGGGAGAATCTGTAAGATTATTCAATTGCTAAGTTTTGTGTCTAATGCAGTGTTAAGATGTAGCGTACATGTTTTAAAATCATAAAGACTAAACATCTGCACACACAAACTGTTATGGGCTATGTACGAATACGTATATACTAATAGGAGCATCTTTAGAAAAAAAGGTGTTGCATTAAGTTAAGCGCTCATTCAATAACCTAATTGTATACTAATAACTAAGAGAAATTTATTATTACCGATTATACACAAAGGAGACAAAAAAAGATAATGAATCATCCAAAATTAAAATAAACCACAGTAAAGTAAACCGCGATATAAAGTATTAAAATACATCATGAAAATCATCCTCTCCTTCTGCCAATTTAGCCAGGCATTTCAGCAAATAATTCAGTCCTGTTCCTTGATACATTCTTGTTTTATGCCTCATAGCCTCATTTATGCCTTCAATTACAGCTTGTTTTAGTTCAGCTGTGCAGAGTTTAAAAATATAAATCTTTTAATTAAAACACCACTTAGTAAAAAATATTAAATCAGTGTTTTAGAATGTGTTCATGTGCATCAGCAGTATCGATTGTAGTAGTATAAATTTTGAATTAAAAATTAGAAGCTGAAGCCGAAATTTATATTCCTATTTTCTGTAATTTCATATTTTGTACCTCGTATAGTATAATTAAAATAGTAAATTTTACAACTTAAAAATGAACTGTTTAAAAACTAATCAAAATTCACTGTTTAAACAAAAATTACTTTTTGTTTCAAGGCAGGGTAAAATCTTTGAACAAATAGAGAGTTAATTACAATTATATAATACGTGCCTACAAGTGAATGTAAAAACTTGATTACATCTGATTCAAACATGTTATTAGTTTACCTTTTATCACCTTAGTCAGATTTTCTCCAATTAATGAAAGTAAAACTTTTGAACGAAACAAAACTCTTTTGTTACAAGACTTTATGTTACTGATGACCTTGCATAAAAAGAAAAAAAATATGACTAGACTAAATTTTTACATTAAGATAACTTACATAAAATATTTAGAATGTAATCGTTAGTTATATTATAAAAAACAAGTAATGATCTTGGCATTGTATGTTGTCACAAAATATTTATCCAAATTAATGTAAGTTTTATTTTTTTAAATAAATTTATTTTACCGAAAGTCAAGTTTTTATTACAAGATTTTATTTAGTTCGCAACGTCTGTTTGTTTGTTTGTTTGTTTGTTTGTTTGTTTACTTGTAGTTTGTATATGGCGAATCTTGTAACACAACATTATCCCACTTCTAATGCAGCGAATTCGTTCAAACTTTACAGATGAGTTCCACTTCGGTGACAATGCAAGTCTATCTTGTTTTTTTTAAAATTTAATTGGATGTTTAATTAGTCATTAAAAATTAATGAAATGGTTTCAATACTGAGCGAGATAATAAATTAAATCACTCGTTAGATTACTTTATTCAATAACTGAAGGAGAGATAACTAGAAAGGCCTGATGACAATAACAGTCTGATGAGGTGTGATTCACAAGAATGTTTACAATCATAGATCTGGTCGATCTGGTAAAGGCCGTGTGTGTGTGTGTAGGGAGGGGGGGGGGGGAGAACAAAGTTTTAAACGATTTGAAACTTAGGGGAGGTAATTAAAACTTTGGCGACACAAAATAAACAATAGCAAAACAAAATAAACCGGGAGTGATCTCCCCTAAACTTTCTCGAATATTCTAATTTAAAATTACGAGGGATGGCAACTCAGGACATGCCCTCGCTGATTAAGAGACTAAAGTGGTTCAATGGTAGTTATGTTGTTTTTGTCTTTTAAAAACACCTATTTCGGCTGAGCATGGGTCTGACCACACTATCCCTTCATATGCTAAAATGATAAAAACAGATGAACTCAACTTCACCTGCCTCGTGTCCCGCCAAGTCTCGATAGGCAACTTTATCATCTACATATAAAAAACCCAAATTGAAACAAAATTTAAAATTGACTTGGTGTGTCTCGAATCCGTACTACCCGCTACACTATCATCTCAGCTATTTAGGCACCTTATGATTCATGATGAATAAAAGACGTAGTTAAGAAACTTAAATTACGTAAGTAGGCATATTCTTTCAATTGAAATTTTATCCCAAATTAGTCACTTGTATAGCTAAGCAAACAAAGATTTTTATAAAAAATTAAAGCTTGAAAGAGTTTAATATAGATAATTATTATTGGAATATATTCTAGAATAGAGTCTAAATCTAGATCTTAGCGTCTATGTCTGGTTTTTCCGTAGAACTAGTCTAGATCTAGAATCTCTAGATTAAGAATCCAAATAGATAAAATAAATTTCATAAGTTTAGGCCGAGAAAATTGTATTGTTTACATTTCATAGCGTACGTAGATCTAAATCAAATTTGAATGAAATTGTTTATTTACTTATATTTTGAAATCGGAAGATGACGCCATTAGTTTTGTTTACGTTCCTTAGTGTAAACATTTGTGACGTCATTATTAATCGCGTTATTGTCACAACTATAAACACTTTTCCGGTTGCATAATTAAAACTGTTTTTCTACATTCGAATATGCCTTTATTTTTTTATTTTTCTTCTTTAAATAAAATTTTGTTTATACATTTAAAGCATCTATCATATTGTTTTCAACAAAAGTCCGTATCAAGTTCTCCATATATCGCTGAAGATACTGATATGATAGCCTGTGAAAATATTTTGCGGACAGATTGAGAGAAAGAGAGAGAAAGAGAGAGAGAAAGAGAGAGAGATGAAGAGAGAGAGAGAGAGAGAGAGAGAGAGAGAGAATAACGCACAGGGGCTTTTATATAATAGGATTCCATTTGCCAGAGTGTCAATTTGTGTTTTAACAAGGGTGTTAAAAATTGCTATCAGGTACAATGCATTAAACACATATGGGTAGCTTAAATACTGTACTGAAATAAATGAGCCCTAAATTGTACGTGGTTGTCTTATCTGACAATGGTTATTTTTCGTTCATAGGATGCACACTAAGAAAAGAAAAACTATTCAGATATTCTATTCACTAACATGTGAGCCTAAATAATATTATTAACTATTACTGCTAGATAATATTTCTTCTTACCTCAGAGGTATTAGCCCTTCGAAAATAGTCGGTTCTTTTGGTCAAGCAAACGATGTTGTATAAAATGGACAGTGCGTAATACGTAACAAAGGTCAAGCCGGCATTCTAAAAAAATGTTTATAATAATAGATTGCACCTCCTATGATTTTACTAAGTTGTGTATCAAACAAAGGAATGCAATACTTTAATTACAGTTAAATAATATAATATAATAACTACCTGTAAATTATTCTGTCTGATGAGACATGCTGTCAGTGTGTCAACGATATTACATTCGGCAATACCCTTAAGAGATACATGGGGATAAAAATGCATTCTAATTAAAAGTTCTTAGCGTTAAGCAATAAGTAAACCAATAAAGGGTCAGGAAAGTAAACGCCTTAAGGAACGTATTTTACTAAATTAAAAAAAAAAACAGGCTATATTCTAAAGAGATTATCATTTATAAATGAGTATAGGAACCCTACAGTTTTACCTGGGCGAATCGACGTAGTCTTGTACTGCAGAAAGTTAAAAACTTTAGTAAATAAACAGCTAAGTAGTCGAAATCTGTTGATCTTATGTTCAGTAGATCTTCTTCATTCATGAATTTTATCGTAATTTCTGCATATATATATATATATATATATATATATATATATATATATATATATATATAATATGTAAAATTATATCAGAATAAATTATATCAGAATAGATTATATCAGAATAAATTATATATTGAGGATATATATATATATATATATATATATATATATATATATATATATATATATATATATATATATATATATATATATATGTATATATATATATATGTATGTATGTATGTATGTGTGTGTGGCCTATAACTGTGTAAATTAGTATACAATGTGCTTATGCAGTATTGTAGATTTCGTTCAAAACATGTATTACATGTTGAACATAGCATGTCATGTGTTTGTATATTTGTTTATGTGATTGCGCGTGTGATTTGAATGTAAAAATGGATTATTGATCTGGCTGATTTGATGTTGTGTGAACTATAAATACATATCAATAATATTTCTGGTAATTTTTTAATATTTAAAATTATATTTTAATAATATGAATTTTACATTTAACGATACATTAAAATATCGACATATCGGCAGTTTTATATATCTTTTCCCTAAAGGCGATCAGTGAAGTTGTGTGTTATTTTTCTTACAAAAAATATCTATTTTTTATTTATTTTTTTAATTTTTATACAAGCAACTTGTGTTGTTGACAACATATTTACTATGCCATAGACGCTTTTGTTTGATTTAGCTTGTGAAAACAAAGGTGTGTGGTAGTTACGGCGCGCATTAAGTACAAAGTACAAACATTTTGCTATTCCTTTAATGCTGTGTAATCATAAACGTTTTATATTTGTAGTATAGTATATAATAATGCAAAACTATTTAAATACATTAAAATGAAATAAATCAGTGAAATATCAGTCAAAATAAATAAAATTAATACAAAATTTGACATTCAAATAGTATATTTTGCAAATAAAAATGTCTATTTTGTAACATATAATAGCCATTTTTTCTGGTTTTCTCCTTAGATATGAGTTTATTACCAAAATGTCATATTCATTTTTATGAATATTCAGCTTCCGTTATATATAATTGCGAAATACTAACTACAAATCATTTTAACCAAATATGTTATTTCACTTAGCATTAAAATATAATGTTGGGATTGTCGTAAGTTTGTGCGGGAAGAAAGGTAAGAGATAGTTTCTGTGGCTTGGTACAGATAACACAATTATTGGCTATGTTATTCTGTCTGTATGACATCTATATATATATATATATATATATATATATATATATATATATAAAATTTTCTTCATGGGGACTATGCAAGACACCAGGTAAACGCACGCCGTTACTCCCCCGCTCTCTAGGCATATAGCTACCACCCCCACCCTCTACAATCGTAGAGCCGGGTCGGCTATTAGGGACAGATATTTTAGTGTTTAAGAGATTTGAATCTAAGGAGAGGTAATATCAAGTTCTGCTTGATCTTTTCATTGTCGTCTGTAAACTGTTGACACGGACAGCAGCTTCCACGGGGACGGGGGAGAGGGGAGTAGAAAGTGAGGGTGAGGATAATCGTCCTTCACGGGCTACTGATAGTATTCAAAAGCAAAATATTTTCAGTCGCAGCATTAGGGGTGTCGAATTCACAAATTATGAATTACTGAAAAAATAGAAAGTAAAACAACTAAATAGCGGCGTATGCTACTTCGCGGGTCAGCTTGTTCTATATAATAGCTTAAAAACCCAGCGTCAACTAGCTTTCAATTCTACCATTTTATCAAGGGTAATGAATTGGGACAAACGATTGAATTTCTCAATTTACGCCTTTTCCATAAAGATTTTTTTATTATGAATGGATTTGCACATAAACAATAAACAATATTACCTATTTTTCTACAGGCTTGCAACAAGTTAACAAATATAACATTACATTTTGTAACATTTTTCTCACAATATTCTTAATATAACAATTTTCTACGACTATATTTTAAATATTTGTACAAATTTCGACTTTTTTTGCACGATTACAAAACTTCCTCTGTATTTCATATACGAGAACATTTTTTAAAAAATCATTTAAAGAACATTCGTGTTGCATCTAAATAGAAATTATAAGATGAGCTCACAATTGAGTTCTAGGTAACAATGGCAATGATAAAGAAGCTTTTACCAGTATATTTATACTGAGAAAGTAAATCCACAATGTTAATCATTTGGTAATTGCGACCACTGGAAAACAAGCTGACGAAACAGAATAATATTCTATGATGAACGTAGAAAGAGAATGCATTAAATGTTTTCATTGCTGTATATTCCTCTAAAACTTCAGAAATGCTATTTAGTAGGAAATCCTCAGTAAGTATCTGCAAGAACAAGCATTACGTGAACATATTTTTAATTTATGAATGTGTTTATTGGAATTAAAATTAAATCTATTTTAATAATTTTAATAGTCTTAAAAAATTAAACATTTGACGAAATCAAAGAGGATTAAATTTTGTGCAAGAAAAAGCATACAATAAGAGATTTTTCAAGAATTTTCTTCTATTAGGAATATTAGAGTCTCACAATTTTTACAGATTTAAACAGATTGTCGCACTATTTATTAATGCAACAACTCTTGACATTAATCAAGTTTTTGCGTTTGCATTTCAAACCATTTACAATGCGTTACAGTAGTCGAGATTGTTTTATACCTACATGGCTATTTTAAATTAGATTTAGCAATTTCGTTTATACATTAAAAATGTATTAATTTCGAGCTCATTATTTTGGTTAATCTGTATTTATTGTTTTAAAGTCAAAGATATATTCAATCTAGAATCGCTTTAAATGCTTGCTTAGCTGCTTAATTTGCATAAATACTATGCGCTTATGATAAAAACTAACTGATAAGATATTCATCATTAGCTTGCTCATATGTTTTTGTTCAATTAAAATTAAAATTCCTTTGGCCGAATAGAGATGCAACAATTGCAAACTTTACCTGATTTCTTAGCTTTCTCAAATATATAGTTAAAAAGCTGATCATTGACCTGAAAATAAAATAAAAATGTTATATTCGTTCAATTCGACTAACAATTTAAAACTATTAAGTATTATTCGGTAAGACTGCTTACATTGTATTAAATGACAATACCGATTTTTCGAAAAACTACTCATTCTGTAATTTACGACATGCATATACTTTTTAGCTTAGAGAAGATTATCACACCTAATAATAATATAATTTTTCTAATAAACATCATTGTGTATTCATTTTTTTAATATCATATCTCATATTATTTGAAATTTAGGGTAGATAAAGTAGTATTGAAATAAATTGATATTTTGGTTGATATTTTCCTTTACTATAAAAAAACTTAACATAAACAAATTTAAAAGATTAAATCTTGCATTTTAAAGTAAGCTAAAGAACAATAACCATAGCCCTACAGACTGTGCAAGAATGTGATAGCTAACATATTATTTTGATTTTAAAATGTAGTAAAAGTTTTGTGTATTGCTAAGATTTGAGGTTTTTTTTTTTATTTTCATTGAATATTCATATTAAGATTCATAATGTTGAAAAAATTAAGTGAGAATTTTAAGCAGAAAAAAATTGTACTCTCTAGTATTTAACTGAAGGTTTGACACATTTTTCTCTCAATATTATGTAAATATATTTCTGACGCTGTTAAAATGTAAAACTTAACTGGATCGACGAACCAAAGTCGAAATAAGTATTCAAAATAAATGAACTGATCGCTAGAGTTATTAAGAAAATGTATGTATAAAACACATTTTGAATACCTCTAGGTGGAAGAAAATGTAAAAAAGATCAACAGCATTATGGTGTTTTTAATTTGTTTTCCTCAACGACCAAAGCAATTAGAATATTCAAATTTCCAATTTCAAAACGAATAGGCCTACTTTAAGTATTTTATGAAAACAAATATTCAATACTAAAAACAAGAAAGAAGTTTGAGAAGTAACCTCTTTATGTTGCAGAATAACTCATCATCCGTCAGTGATTTTAATTCCGCTCTTGATGCGATCTTTTTAAAATCATTACCTATGAGATAAAGTAATGTTTTGTACACTAAATATCTATTAAAAACAATGACATTTAAATACAAATAAAATCCTTGGTGAATTACTCGTCAATGAAATCAGTTGTACATAAAACGTTAAGTTGGTTGTCAATGGTAAAATGATATTGTTGTACCGTATTACTTGTAACAATCAGTAAAACTGTTGTAATTCAACCGGTAAATTAGTCTGAGCAACTTCTCTGCCGGGAATAGAGCAAATGTATTTTTAAGTATGTATTCAAGTGCACTAAGTCACGGACAAGGTAAAGCAATGATAAAGTTTTAGCAGCTAATGCAGTAATAGTAATAAATAAAATTAATAGTGGCAAGCTGAAGGCCTGATGACTACGCCACATTTCAATGTGCGCAGTTTATAGCTTTAAAGTAATAACAACCTGGTCCCATGACCTCTTGACTCTGGCAAGGGTTTACGGCTGGTGAAAAAAAACATCAGGTACGATGACAACATGTCAACTCAATGCCCGCGGTTTACGGCCTGTAGTAATATGAAGGGCTCAGTGGAAAAAGTACTGAAGTGTATTTTGAGAGGTTTGAGAAAAATGAGGTCAAAGTTTTTACATTGAAGATGAAATACCTTTTATTCATTTTGCTCAACTGCAAAAATTTTTTATATCCAGCACACACTGCTATATATCTGAACCAAGTTTTATTCTTGTTTTGTAAAAAATAATGATTTTGTGATAAATAAATACAAAGTTACTGCAAGAGTACAATTTAATTTATTATAGTTTTAAAACAGTGGTTCCCAAACTTTTTCGAGTGGCGACCCCCTTTTATAAAAAAAAAACGACCCGCAACCCCCATAGAATTAAAAGCCGAAATTAGTATGGAAATTCATAAGCACTAAAATAGGATTTTCTATTAGACTTTCAACATGAACTACTCTTGGTAAATGTTTTAATACCATGAGTAAAATTGCATACTATTTACTAAACATTCGAGGTTATCTGTTAACACCAACCTATGTCATTATCAACATTCAGTTTATTTCTTAATTTTGTTTTTTATCGGAGAATAGTTTTGAAAATCTATTCTCGAAAAGTCAATCAATTTTACGTTTGGGTATGAATGGTGAATACTACACCAAAATTGTGTGCAGTTTTTCATCCTACGCGAAATCATTCTGCAAATCAAAGAAATCATCTTTTAATTCATCTGAAATGCTGGCAACATCAAGGGAAGAAGAGAATGGGTAATGCGTCAATGCAGATTCTTCTTTTTTTAGCTCAGAGAATTCAAGATGCCCAGAAATCGCTTCTTTCAAAATTCTAATTGTCTCACAATCAGATTCATCTACCACACTGCAGAGTTTCTCAAATTTACAATATTTCCAAGATTTATTTTATTCGCTGATTTTGCAGCTTTGATAAAGATGCCCCGAGATTATGTTTATGTTCGAACACATCTGCTTGGTATGCTGCTTTCTCCGACCAATATATGTCGTTTTAAGTATACCAAAATGTCTTGATTCCTTTGCACTTCCAAGAACAATTTTATTTCAGATTTCAATTCAAAAACACAATTCACAACATTTTGTTTGACAGCCAGGTACAGTAGTGTAGAAAAGCAGAACCTTGAAATCTTTATACTAGTCTTTGCTTGGTTCTTTGAAGGCTCCAAATCTATATATATATAATTCTATTCTGGGAGCCGTTAGAAAACAAGCTGCAAGCGCCTCCTTGCAGTCCCCTCTCTTTCTCTCTATCACTATCACTACCACCCCCACCCCACCCCCACATTGTCTGGTGAGCTGTTGTCACGCTAAATGTATACAAAGCTAAATGTTTACAAATTGTAGAGCCGTAGAGCCGGGTTTCTATTAGGGGCAGATAATTTAGTTCGGTTTTAAACTTACAGGAGGTTACTAAGAAATAACTAAGAAGAGGCTGCTTTCACGGGGGGGGGGGGGGGGTGTAGGGTCGGGGTTAGGGGAAAGGGGGGTTAGTGTTTTAAAGCAAATATTTTCAGTGGCAGCATTGGTACTGTCGAATTCACAAATTATGAATTACTGAAAAGTAGAAAATAAAACAACTAAATAGCTGCGTATGATACGCTGCGGGTCGGCTTGTTTAATATAATTTACGACTTATACTAGCAATGGAGTCTTGATGGCAAGGGCAGTGGTTAGGGAGCTAAATTTTTTCTGTTTTCTGAAAGCCCGATTTTGACCTAAACATAGATGGCGCACCATCCGTATAAACCCCCATGGCCGTTTTAACCTATTTTAATCATCCAGTTTCAAAAAACGAATTTATTTTCTCCAAGCTAACTTTACAAAATATCAACTCTTCTTTGCTATCATCTAAATGAATATAGACAAAGATGAGCAACTGCGAACACATAATCACGTCTGTTGATTTATCAACTTGAAAAGCAAACAATGGCAAAAGCTTGATTTCAATTTAACATCTACGGACAAATTTATTTTCTCTATGCTATCTTCAAAAAATAGCAACTCTTCTTTGCTATCATATGAATGAATATAGACAAAGACCAGCAACTGCCAACACGAACTCATGTCTGGTGATTTATCAGCTTGAAAAGCAAACAATGGGGAAAGTTTGATTTAAATAAAAATGTGTTATTTAACATCTACGGACATGTCTGCTATAAGCCGCTGAATAGTATTATTAGGCAGAAATATGTGTTGCATCTTTACTGCACTGGAATCCCCAAGAATTAACTTCACCATCTTCAACATGCAGCGTTTGATGAGATTTTCTCCTATTGTGTTTTTTTTTTGTTTGGCATTTTCAATCGCAACTTCAAATGATGCTTGCACTAATTTTGTGTTTCCTTGGTGAAAACTTCCTGTTCGATCAAGTCTCTGACGTTTGCAAATAGCTTCATGCTGACGAAAGAACTCCATATCTTGTTTGGTGTGTTTCGAATGATTCGTCTCAAATGACGTTTTAGTTTTGAGGATTTCATAAACTCGTAACTGAAAATAACTTTGCACATTACGCATTTCTACATCTCTATTCCATTTCCAGTGATGTTAGTAAAGCCGAATTTTAGAATATTCTTCTAAATATTTATGTTTTGTTTCTCATTACTAAGGTTTAGTATACCAGTTGGCGACCCCCCCCCCCCCCCCCCCCCCAGAGAGCAGGTCGCGACCCCCAGTTTGGGAACCCGTGTTTTAAAAGCTTATACATATGAATCATACATATTTATATGGGTTACAACAATGCAATTATTATAAAATGAGCATAAATAATACATAACCAAGCACATGGGAGTAGGGCCGGCGGCCCTTAACTCCGCGTGCGAAGCCAATAAGAGAATCAGAAAAGAGAGAGTTTTTTGGGTTGCATCCCCTTTTAAGCATTAAAATTGGCGGTGTGTCGCGTGGACAATCTAGCCAACTAGAGAAGAGCCTGTGAGGGGGACGAGAGATAATAATGTACGCAGGGGCGGAACTACAGTGCAACCTGACCCGCAATGCGGGGTGGGGGGATGGGAGGCCTTTTAGGGGCCCTCAGCCGACCATAATCATTTTTTATAGGTGAAAAAATAATTATCTTGTAAAAATAACAAACTATCTACTACAGTAGTGATGTTCTACAGTAGCTAAGTAACACACGCTGTTTCGTACAGGAAAAAAATGTATAGGCTACATGAGTTGTAATGTGAAAGATGGGCAAACGTTCAAACCACTTCCATGACTTATTTCCTTTTCTAAATAGTCAAATATGTATGTTCTTAAGAAACTTTTAATAGATTGCACTAAACAAATTAAAAAGCATTTATTTCTTTTAATTATTACTTTTTTAATAAATACGTAATAAAAATGACATATTTTAAAAAAGAAAGTTAAGAAAACTAATAATATAAATGCTAAAAAAACATAAAAAATAAACATAAGGCGAGAAACCATTACACATACATGCTCTCATGCTTCATATTCTTTCGACCGACTTGTAGTTTAAGAAGCATTTTATAAGCCATTAAAACAGTGAATTTGAAAACAGACTAATAGCACTCACACAAATGGTGTGTTGTTGTAACACGTTTTAATTAAAAATAAAACTAAGAATTTTAATTTTTTTCTAATTTCGAACAAGCCCTTATTGAGTATTCTATGTTCATATTTTCGTATTTTGTATATATATATGGGGCCCAAAGATTTTTTTTGCGGGGTGGCCCTTTTTTTCTAGTTCCGCCATTGAATGCACGTAGCTGTTCGGGGGGTGGGGGGGGGGGGGGGAGTAATAGTGCAGGTAGAGGGTGGTGGAAGAACAAAATATAGCTAGTCCTAAACGGTTTTACCGTCACATTGGTTTCGGAAAGAAATTTAGTCAACGGCCCAGCTTGATTTTTAGAAGAATCAGAAAGTTCAACACTGAAGATCATCTTAATTTAAAACCGACGTCGTTAAAACAGTGAAAAAGAAATATATATCTTACAAAATAAAAGCTAATGGCATGAGAACAAATTACTCAGGTGTCGTCCATATATGACGTCACACTCGAAAGGGGGAGGGGGGTCCGTAATTTTGTGACGGTGTGTGATGAGAGGGAGGGGGATTCATATTTCGCGTTTTAGAAAACGGTTTTAATAAATTAATAATAGGAATTGATTAAAATACTCTATGTTGACGGAGTTCAGACAAGATTTTGGAAAAAAAAAACAGTTTTTTTTTTTTTTTAAATTCATCTACGATTTTGAGGGGGGTTGAAGGCTGAGGTGTGACGTCATTTTAGGGGGGGGGGGGGGCGTCTGGCTTTTTTGACGATGTATGATGGAGGGGAGGGGGAGGTAAATATCGTGAAAAAAGCGTGAAGTCATTTATGGATGACCCTCACAGAAAATTATCAAACGATTACGACAAAGTTGTGGCTTGCGATAATATGGACAAAAACATAGTAATAAGGTAACTAGTTAAAAAAAACGATTTACATGTGCATCGACAGCTAACTACGGAAGGTGCTGAATAAACAGAATAGTAAGTTTGTGG